GTAAGATCGTATAAAATCTTGTGACTTCTTATAAGGTCGTATAATTTCTTATACCTTCTTTGTGTAAGATCTTATAAGATCATACAAGATCTTGTACATTCCTCTGATAAGAAAAATCTTGTAAAATCTTATAAGAATCTCGCTACAAGATGTCATATGAAATCTTGTAAGATCTTCCAAGATCTTGTTATCTAATCCTTGGACCTGGGCATCCCGAGATGCTGAAAAAATAAACTTAAACCATTTAATATTTATTTTTCACTTTTTTTTCATTATCATCTCGATAGAAAGCACACGTTTAGGTCAAGAGTAGTTGGATGTATGTGAAAATATTTTCTCTTTTTGAAAATGTCAAAAAGAAAATGGAGACGTAAGGGTATTGATGATGGCGAAGAAAAACCTCAAAATTTCTCCTACGTTTTTCACACTGTAATGTAAAAGACGTATGGTTGAACTAGAAGAGGATCGGTATAGAAAAGAGCACTAACTCTAGTAAAAAATAAAACTAATCGGTCCAGATCAGTGTTCTAGTCAACCGAAAATTTTGATTTCATAGTTCTCCTGTATAAATCAGAAAATTTATAAATAAAAGTTTATAAATCGATTTATAACTATTTCGGACATTGTCCAAACCATTTTGGACTCTTCAGTGCTAGTGCTACCCACACTAGTAGTGTTTGATATAAGATCTCCATCTATCAGTGACAGAAGAGTAATAATTCTGACGCAATCGCCCATATCAAGAAACTCGATGGCAGTCCCTCAACGTGCTAACATTTTTTATATCAAATTCGGCTTGATTCGACTCAAAAACTCGAACTAAATTATTCGACTCGTTACGGGCTCTGATCTAAATATCACTCTTTAATTTTTGCAACCACTTTATGTTCGCTGTATGAATACTTTGGTTTACAAAGTTCTCACACGGGGAAACTTTGGAGACTTGACTCTAACCCCGCCCTGCCAGAATTGTTCCTCGTCTCTCTCCGCCCGGCAAAAATAACCCTAGCTACGTTGCTTCGCCCAGCTTTGAGCCTGGTCCTTACAGGTCCCGTCCTTTGCTGTATGTCCGGTTGAAAATAATGACTCAATATTATTTTGCACGTTTCAAAAAATTTTGAGCAAATTTAAATTACTGATTTTGTTCGTTTTATTAATTTTAATCTCTTAAACCATAATTTCTGTCGTGCAATTCGATAATTGAATGGTTAGAAATTGAGTAGTTAAAATATGAATTACTTGTGATTTTCGGCTTTCTGGGTTTGACCAGTGGATTTTGTAAGAAATCGCCATTATATACAACATGAAAACAGTAGAAAGAGTCGAAGATGTTTCCCGATATTTCGGCGAGTCTCAAGTTTTTTCGACGAATAAGGCTATTTTTTTCATGACTCTAGTTACTGTGGAAAAGTGATAAGATTTACTCCTTTCGACAGGGGACCATGGGAATAGAACAAGCTGACGTCGAATTGAATGCAGTCCTCCAGATAGAGAAGCATCGCAAGCACTATTTGCATATTACTTATGGTAAAAGGGAAGTGCGATCACGGCAAGCCCATCATCTGTATTGTAAGTATGCAATAAATTTATTTGCCTCTCTCTCTCATCAGCCCTCAAAAGAGAAGCGCTCAATAGCACGTAAGTTCAGAAGAAAAAGTTACTCATTTTGATCCGTGTGCCTATTAACTTTCTTTTCAACGGAGTTGAATGCCGAGGCGTATTCATAGAAGGTAATCCAAATCTGCTTTTTTTGTTTTGTCATTAATTAATGATTTGACGTCTGACATGCAGGAAATGATGTGCTCTCTCTCCTTTTATTCACGAAACTTCACCGAACACGAAATGCTCATCATATCGAACATGAAAAACGAATGAAGGGAGAGCGAGACCAGAGAAAGAAATGTGAACAGTTCATCAAGATGTGAACCCAAGATTATCTAAGATATACAGTAGCGAGAGTACAAAACAGAGCAGCAACAACACAAGCGAGAACAGTAGGAAAAACACACTGACGAATGAGATCCTAACAGTGAAAGCTCCAATACACGTACTGACTACTTTCTCTCTCAGAATTATCAAGATTCTTTTCAGCAGAATACTCACATTGTACAGACGATCTGGCTTCGTAGCAGTACTTCCTAAAAATATAGGACAGTGAAAGACATTTATATAGAGCTGTACTAGCAATATAGGACAAATATAAGACCGTCTGTTTTTCACTAAAATACCGTTTAATGTAATTTAAAAACAGCAAAATATCGCATACATTCATAAGCCGTTCCCTTGTGCTTATGCAAATCGTAGTCTGAATTATATCTAAAATGGAGTTCATTTGAAACACATAAACTAAGCAATTTGGACGAAGAGAAAGTATTAGGTCTACATGTAGATGGCAAAAGAGTCTTTACAAGCTTTTCATGTACAATCAACTAAATTTCTCTAAAAAGATTGATCGCATTTGATATAAGTTATAAAATAACCAAAGGGCGGGGGGCGCATAAGGAGCCATTTTAGGTCATTGCGATTGTTTTTCAGAAACGATCTAGTTCGACTAGAAAATTCTTGTCGATTTGTCTGAAGCAGTTTCTGAGCCGAAAAGAAGAGTGCTATATAAATATTAGCCAAAAATCTATACTCCTCTCCCATAAGTCTAAATGAAGTCATAATGTGACAATGAAAAAAGAAAGGTTTGTAGTTAAAAATATTGTTCTTTCCATTCCTTTATAGTTAGTACACAGAACACATCAAAAATATATTCTTACTTGCTTTAAATCTGATTTTTCGTTCGCATCATAATGTTATCACCATTGTCATCAAACAATGACGATAATGATTCAGATCTCATTGATTTATTATATAATTTATGCAAAGAAAATGAAATAGAAAAAGTTCGAAGTCTTTTACCATTTATTGGCAATATAAATATTATAAATAAAATTCAAAATTCAACTGGTTCAACATGTTTACATGTGGCTTGTTATTATGGACATCGACATATGGTAGAAATTTTATTAGAATATGGGGCTCTACATTCTATAAGAAACTTACGACACAATTTAACACCTTATGAAGAAGCTCAAACAGATGATATAAAACAATTGTTTTTAGAACATCGGAAATTATTTTCAAATAATGATTATCATTATATTGAATGGTCAGTAGTAGGCGATGATCTTCTTGGAAAACGACGTGAATTCCGCGAAGCTATTGATTTGTACAAAACCTATGATAATCATCGTTTAATATCAAAATTATTAGCTGAAGTTATTCATTATTATTTAAATGAATATTTGGTAACTCAAAGTAATGATATTGGCAATCCGGAAGATCAGATTACTCGTAAACAAACTGAAACTATTGAAGCATATTTTAAAGAAGCTATAGAAAAACAAGATTATTTAACATATTTTATCAAAGCTTATACATTAACAAACTTTTTTTTATAAAGTTTTAAATAAAAATTTAGCTCTGTATATATTAGAATATGTTGATAAAAAAAAAACGTTTTCGTCAAATTATCGTCTTGTAAATTGTCTTATTCACATTGTTACACTTTTAATTTACCATCCAAATCTACCTCAATATCGATATCAAGGTGTATGTTATTATGGTATGAAAATAACACAAAATGATTTAGATCAATATCAAGTAGATCAACACATATTAAACCGTGCATTTTTACCAACATCTATTGATCGTCAAGTAGCTGAAATGTTTGCTAGTGAAGGTCAACAATCTCAAATGAGATATACTCCTCAAGATCATTGTGCATTACAATATTCATGTTTATGTCAATATTTAATAAAACAAAAGTCAACAGCTATTAATATAGAAAGTTTATCAACGAGACCAGATGAAAAAGAAATTTTAATTATTCCATTTACTGTCTTCAAAGTGATAACAATTAAACGAAATTATCTTGATGATTCAACAGCATCAATTTCAATTGAAATTCAATTAGAAGAATGTGAAGATCCAGACGATAATAAAAATGAGCCAGAAAGTAATACGTTTTTCTTTACGTATCTAGAAGAAAATTAATTCTTTCGATTCTATTTGTTAAATTTTCAGGTGGTGAAACATCCAGAACATCATCACTTTCATCGTCTGATGTTGACATAAAAGATACTGAAGACTATCAAAAATTCAAACAACGAAAATATCTTTATTATGGCATCATTGTATTTTTGGTGGTAGCTATTATTTTAGCTCTAACTATGACATTCATTTTTACTTTTGCTGTTAAAAAAATGCCTCGAAAAATACTACAAATAACGCAACGTCTTCATTAGAAAAAGACAATATTGTCGAGTACCAATTACCATTAGGTAAAAGTAAGACAATAAAAACAAGCTAAAATGTCAAATCTCTCCCCATATTTTCCAATGTTAGGGGTATCATTTTCCAATTAGCGATTTTCCGGAAACTCCTAAGTAGGAACTTACGAATGTTTAGCGGAAGTTTTCGATGTGTTTGAGGTAGAAACGGCGGAGACTTCAGTCTTGAATTCTTGTGAAGTTCTGTGACGTCACTTGAAGTCCGCTGTTTCCTCCCTCAAGAGCCCGTCGGGTCCAAATTTTGGACCCGGACCCGATTTTTGAACGTCTTTTAGACCCGCACCCCGACCGAGACCCGGTTGGTTAAGAATTTTTGGACCTGGACCCGCACCCGAAAAGTACTCTTAATGTCAACGGAATTTTTTAATCTCAATCGGATAGTTGCTCCGAAGATGCAACGTACTTTGTTTAGTTTATTTGTCTTCAGCGGCTAGCACACGCTACAAATTTCTCATGAAATTTTGACGGTAATCTGATAAAGTCATAATTGGCTGTTATTTTTAGAGTAGAAGCTGTCAGGTCAGACCCGGGCCCGATCAATAGAAAATTTCCAGACCCGGACCCGGTGAACAGGAAATTTCAGACCCGGATCCGAGCGGGTCCCGGACTTGGTCGGACCCGACGGGCTCTACCTCCCTCGGGTGTGTTACCAATCTGGTAACAAATTGCAAACTCTGTGAAAGGAACCTCCAATTTACTTGTCTACCTCTTCTATGTATTTCTAGTCTGTAGTAAACCCATAAAGTGGTGCATTTCATGTTGTCTGACATGTGATGGATTTCCGAGTTTCCGGTAACCAGTGCACATACGATTTCTAGATTTCCAGAAATCAGAGAGCTCATAGTCAAATGTGCTACAGATGATTAGATAAAAATTTCAAATGCCAGACGCCTCATAAATGCGAAAAAAGACTTTTGATGTGTGTTTTTGTTTCTTGAAAATAGAAATTTGAAATCCCTGTTCGAAATACTTATATATATTTTAGCTTTTAAACAAATTAATTAAAATTCATTCTTTTCTTATTGGCAGCTTTGAACGTAGGTTGGGCAGTCAATTCCCTAATTCCATATTTTATCGATCCCAAGAGTGCATGTAAAGTTGATGTCGCAGTTAACAGATTCATAAAATTTGATACATTTAGACTAAACTATTCTTTTTTTGAACAAGTACAAAACAGACATTTTTTATGTGTATTTCTTGTAGGTTGTCCCAATATATTTAATCGATCTAGCTGGAATGCACGTCCGTATATAAGTCGTGAAAGTTTAACAACATTACCGGCCACACATATTGTTATAAGACAATTAACAGATTTGCCATCAATTATCAATCAGCAAGATTGTATTAAAACAATACAAGACCTTCAAGATTTTCAAATAGATAAAAGAGGTTGGGCTGATATTGGTTATAGTTTTCTCATATGTAATGATAATGATGACCAACAGCAAATTTATAGAGGTAGAGGATGGACATATGTTGGTGCACATTGTGTTGATTATAATTTTAAATCCTTGGGTAAGGATAAATTCCGGTTTTAACTTTTTGCCTTCGTCTTCTTAAACGCAATTAAAATCTTAGATGACTTTTGATATGTGTAGTTAGAGCTGGCAAGAACTTCCTACGAAATCTTACTAGAACTTAGTAGGCCCTGATAGACCAGGAAAAGTTAGCAAAAAAGTCGGGATGATACCGTTTTGTATTATTTTACAATTCATGTTCGCTAGGAAGTCCAATTACCCAAAAAAATTAGACATCATAGTAATGTTTTGAGACCGAAAATCCTGGTTTTCCAAAGATCCAAAACTATCAAACTCAGATTTTTCTGTCTCGAGATCACAATTCGCGTTTGATAGTTTCGTACTTCTAGAAAACCAGAGTTTGTGGCCTCAAAACATCGTCATGATGCATAAACTGTTTATGGTTGTTGACGCGAGAGTATCACGGTCGTAGTGAGTGACCTAACTTAAAAAAAGAATGATTTGCAGTAGCATATTTTGTCGTCATTGGCAAGGATACACAATCTTTTATGTTATGTATAGGTTTTCTTGGTTTCTTGTGGAAAGTTGACTTTAAGATGGGGATGAAGCTATGATCGACGTGTTCTCCATCCAAAGTTATCTAGATATGATGGTTAAGACGACATTATATATCCAAGTGGAGAATAGCCCCAACCCATTTGGGGCTCCAAAAGATGGCTACTCCCTAAGACCCTTCTAGAGATCCCACGCTGATGTTCTCGTGAGACTGTATACTACATATGCATATTTGTTTAACTTAGTGTCAGCTCCCAACGCGACAGGTTTCTTGGCAGATAACCTCGACTAAAAATTTGGCTTTTTGTCAAAAAACCAACTTTGACAACGTCCGCTTTGGCAAACGGAAAGCTTTATAGAGCTGAAATTTTTAGTGAAGATAAATTTCTATCAGTTTTATTTACAGTAAAACTTTCAAATGTCTATCTCTTTTGAGCCATGAGATATAGAGCCTCAAAGTTACTTAAAATACTGAATTTTGCCTCTATAAATGAGATGCATAAAATATTAAGAACTCAACCATTTGAGTTGAAAATCTTGCGGGTGAGTCGAACTCATTGTTGTATACATTCACAAAAGTTCAGTTCGACGGATCAAGCTGTTCTCGGTATATAGTCTGCAAAAACCCTCGCTGGAGAGGATTTTCACTTTTAGGGCTTTTTGTTTGAAAAGTCATAAAAAAATCGAGGTTTCAATATTTCTGAAATCGGCTTGCGTCGAATTTCATAAAACGGTAACTTCTACAACATATCTTAACTCGAGCAAAATCTATGAATATTCATTGAGCATGCTTCCTAAGCATTGATTGTAGTTTACATGGACTGGCTCATAAGTGTTCTGTTTATCACCAAGTTAGTGTTTCGAGATTTCGAATAATGTTATTTTGTTTTTTAAAAGGTATTCGTACTATGGGCAATTATACCAGTATAAAATCTTTAAACACATTTAAATCATTAATTCAATGTGGTATTACAAAAAATGTTATTGTAAAAAATTTTACACTGGTTGGAGATTCATATTCAAGAGATACTTAGGTCGTCAGGAAAGTTCTTAGAACTGTATATTTTAACAGTTATTAAGTCAATATATGTTGCAATGTTATATATCATTTGAAAGAGCATTCAATTCTGAACATTTTAGATACAAGAGTTCTTTGATTGCATGCAATTTTACATAAAGTTATTGCGATTATTAAAAGCACGTTAAAAAAAAATTTAAAAATGGAAAAATTTGAATATCGAGCATATATTAAAACTCGTGTCTTGCTCAGGAAATCAGCGGTTGAGATAGCCAACGAACTCA